ATTATGGACCAATGTACACGTTTGACATTTATGGTACATACACTGCTCTCTCTGATTCTGATGATTCGTTTTTTTTCTTCAAGCGCCTGCGCGCGTGGGGGCCGGGGCGGCGGGGCAACTAATACGGATATAGATTACGGAGTATGCAGTGAAAACCGGAAGTGTTCGACAGGGACTGTACAGAGCAGTAGAGAAGGGCGGTCATCCGTAAACAGCCCGCGTTCTCTTAGATGTAGACGGATGCAGGCGGGCTGTTTGCAAGTGAACGACGGTACGTTGTGCACTGCCCGTCCTCAAGGTGGTCCGGAGACGGTGTAGACGGGGCAGGCAACTAGTGTTAAACGGGTTATCCGTGCGCGCAACTATTCCGAGAGCACGGTAGTGTTTACGGTACAGTATTGACCTGTTTTTGCTGTGAAAGTTGCAAGAAAGCTAAAAGCTTCAGCGCCTAAGCTGTTTCTGAAGCGAGATGCTATGAGGTTGCAGCTCTGGTGTGGTGGGTGTGTGTGTGGTGCGTAGTGCGCATGTTACGCGGGTGCAATAAATGGCAAACCACGACGGAGCCAGTAGTACAGGGAAAACGCTCTGGGTCAGGAACAAGGCATATTAGAAAATCCCACATTTTTTTAAAATCTTCATCTGCCACTGAATATTTAGCTTCATTTTTTGGGAAAATAATAACTTAAGAAGTGAGTTATCAAATAACGCACAAACACACACGCAGAGACCAACTACCTTAACCCTTGGCACATGTGCAAGGGTTAATTAAGCATGTAAATGGAAAAACCAAATTTCCCATGCGGATGTGGCATGCGATTCATATGAACCAGCAGAAAGGATAAATGGGGCATGTGAGTTTCTGACTCACAGAGACTGTAGGGAATGTAGCTATACCGCGACACAGGACGAGCATGCATCAGCAGCACGTGTTGAAAAGCTTACCCGTCTTTTCAGTTTCTCTGTAGTGGCCCTATATACAGAAACCCAGCTAGTGGGTCTATCACACTATCATCATCACCATGCATTAAGCGGCAAGAAAGAGAGCAAACTAACCCGGATCACAGCTGCCAGCGAAGACTTGGGGAACAAAACTTGCGCGGACTTACCCCAAGAACGCACTCAAGCTGAGCTTGCGCGCGTCCGATTATCGAGGGCGTGACCCTTGCGGAAATATTCCATTTTTGCGACAGCGTGTAAACGCGGACTCGCCTTAGTAGAGGGGTAGTCTTACTTGAAGCAGCGGCCTATGATTTGGTGCGTGTACAAGAGAGCAAGAAAACGGAGCCGTCCGACAATTGATATTTTGTCCGATGTTTTCGGACGTTGACTTTGTAGGACAACCGCTCCGCCTTGGAAGCAGCAGAATTTCATCTGCAGCACTATGGCTACAGCATGTTGTATATAGTAACGTAGAGTGGCACTGAAAAAACTCGTTTGGCAAATGAAACAGGTGAAAAATAATATCACCTAGCAACAAATAACCCTCCCTTCTCCCTGTAGTTTATGTGGACAGTGAGAGTAACTACTATGGAAGATGAAACAGTTTCTGTGCCAATATAATCCAACCCAAAAGCATACCCAAATTTCCTCCTCCTATCCCCTCATACGTAAGAAGACTTCCTCCTGACGCATGAATATTATCTTGAAGTATATACTTAACAGACTTGCCTCTGATGTCATTTCCACTTTGATTATTAATTTTCGTCAAGGATGTCGTGATGTGAAAAGTAATTGCACACTGACAGGTGTTTCCTAAATATTCAGTCATTCAAGCATTTCATCAAAGTTTGAACTTAATTTAAGACAAACAATGGCCCAAGAAACCTGCCTGGCATCAAGAGCGTCTTGCATAGTGTGAATATTTACTGTAAAGCTTCGCTTATGCATTAAATTTGTGGCTTGGAAAACACCTTGTAACACATTCCGTTAAACCACAAAATTGCCTGCAAAAACTGCATAGGAATGTTGTGCAACAATATCCTTTTGTTGTGTTGTACTGTCTTGCGGACTTTGAGCCCAGTCTGCTGAGCTGCCCAGCTCATCTGCGGGTAATGCACTCGTCTCTATAGAAAGCAGAGTGTCGTGTGGGTTCGAGTGCCACCCACGGCAGCTATGTTTAGCCTGAAAGCCCTGGGTGCCGTTCAATTTTTATCTTTACCGAGAATCTGGAAGAATTTTGATGTGGGCGTCTTGTGATAGATTCCCGACCTCGCCCACATGCACAGCACAGCCACGCCGTTTTTGTTGCCCTCGAAAGCATTAAGACACAAATATCCGGTGGTTTTTGTGCCGACAAGGGCGTCCCAAACCGGGCGCGTGGTTGTCGCGCATGTCACGTTCCATGTCCACGTCGAACCATACAGAGCCGCAGACAACCTTTTTAGTTTGGAGGTGCTTCTTGGCTCACAGGTTTTACGGCTATGTAAATAAATGTCGACAGAATCGCAACACTGATTCTTATTTCACTATTATGCACATACCACAAAAATGAACTAATTTTCATACCAAATTGTCCAGAAATACTCATCAAGCTTGTCTGTCTCATCATTGTGAATATGCAGGATCATACACCAGTTCAGTCTTGTCTGGTGCATAGTGTTTCTAAGCCATGTGTTTTCATGCGAGTCAGTGCACTGAATGACCCTTCACTCACAGCATTTGTAGCCGGCATGACAAGAAGATGAATAGCACGCCATGTGTGCGCCACGCCGCTAAAGCGTGCGTTGGTGGTGCATGTTCATTTTATGCTGTTGGATGGTCTCTGGCCGGCGATCCGCGATGGGCACTCTGCGCGCAATTAAGCAACCTGCGCGCGCAGGCCAGGTGGGGCGGGCGGCGGCCTGTCAATGACGAGCTAACTGTGGGGGTGCTTCAGCACCCTCAAGTACCCACATGTCTACTGCCTTTGCCATGGACATAGGGCATAGATATCTAGCTAGCTAACCAGGGCTTTGCTATACGTTTATGCACCGACCGCGGAACCTCCATCACACGTTCCGCAAAAGCCAGCTAAATCCGATCGATATTCATAGTGGTCGCTCCTGCTAGATGATCAGCGGGCGGCCAAGTTTTTGCGGCGGTCTAGCTACCACGATATTATTATTAGTATAGACAGGTGAGTTTAGCTCCTTTAGCTGACCTTGCTGAACAAGAAGTGTCTAATAACAAGGAGTTAAAAATCCGAGACAGGTACCAAAATTCACTATAATTCACGAGCGTTTTAGCCATGCTATTGACAATATCGACGCCCACGCAATAAGGGCGTATCTAATATTAAAAGCTGACGAAGAGATATCCGTACCCCATGAACAAAGAAAAGAAAGTAAACTATGGCACGATACTGGTATCCTTCGAAAAAGTACCACTTTATTAGATTGTTACGAGAATTAGGCGAGGAAATAGGTCCTACGATGGTCGCCATTGCACAGGTTCAAAGTTCATTATGCCGCAAGAGCTATTGAATGCGCATGCGTAGGCATAAAGGCAGTATGGAAGAACAGAAGAATAGAAGGATAAAAGGAAAGAAGGATAGAAGAATAGAATGATGGAAGGATGGAAGTTCGCGTAGAACGGAAGTATAGAATGGCCCTTCTGGGGTAATTTGCGAGCGGGAGCGAGCCAACCTACCTGGCCGATTTCTCTATAGCTAGGTATTATAACTAGCGGTCGGGCGCTGTAACTATTGTAATGCGTATAGTACGCCACGCGATTTCCACTTGTTGCTGTGTTGTCGTGTACACGGTTCGACCATAGATAATAGACGCGTCTCTATTGTCTATGTTTCGACATGGATGCTGAGAGCATAGATACTGTACCTCACGCAACAGTGTCTATGCTGAAAGGTCCCTCACTACTATATACCGTAGAGAATTTTCGACCATAGATTACGCGTCTTTCTTTCGACAAGGATGCTGAGAGCATCTAGTATATACGTATATGCATGCTTTTCAATGGTGTAGGCACTATATACCCTGCTCGGCCTTCAAACGTCTGAGCACATGCACCTCTTTTCGGTAGTCTGCCGTGTAGATGACTTCACCTCTTGCAGATTGATTGTGTTTGCTATCTCAATATATATGACTCATAAAATTTTCCTTTCTCTTCATCACAATCAATATCTGTCGTCCCTCCCAACCATGGCCATGCCTAGATACTATGGTAGCACACAATATTACTTGGACCCAAAACACATGCCTTGTATATACTCCATTGGGAGAGAACTGCTTCCAACCAGCGGAAGATGTGATTCAAACCCATCGTTGCAATTCCATTTTTAAAGAACAGAGCCTAGCTCAATAATGAGAAAGAACTGTCCATTGGTCACACGCAGCACCCACCTATATGTGTGGCTGGTGCAAAAGTCGCCAGCTATGCATACGGGTTAAGAATGAACTGAAATCCGCTGTACTCTAAGGATCCGTATCACAGACAGTGCCTGCTGTGAGGTTTTCTGCTTCTCGGAGGGTCCAGTATCGTGAGTCAATTTCTCTTGTAGTGTGCAAAGTAAGCAACTGGAACCATACAGAAAAATTGGCAGAGAAATTTCCACGTTTATAAAAGTTGTGCTATCTTGTGTATAATCATGACTATACACATATCTATCCATAGTGGTTTGACAGTATCGCTGGGGGCCAGGCATGGGGGAAAGGTCCTTGTGAGCTATACCCAGGATCTCAAGAGTCTAGGTCAGTGGATGCCAAGGTAAAATTCCACATGGTTGACAGGATCAGGTAATTGGGGCAGACCATAGCACAAAGGGAAATCTCGGGTATCCTGACCCATACAAAGGGAGGGGTCGCAGATTTTATTGCACATGTGTACATGATGTACTGGAGGTCCCCACAGGAGACGCTATAATCGAGGCGCAGCAGCTCTCGCGGAGCCACGCCCATGAACGTAGCCCAGCGCATGCGCAGTCTTGAAAGCGAGGGTTAAAACTGGTCCGGCCAAAACCGGACCGGCCAGACCGCTTGCTACGGCCATGACATCGCGTGTCCCCATTGGTCAATCCAATCAGTATGAGCATTTTGCGAATCCAGGGTCTCTATGACCTTTCCTTCTGGAACCACACCCACATACAATGAATATGGTTCTGGCTGCTTGTAAGTACGAACAGAGACTATACAGTACATCTAAAAACATGACTATGAGGGTTATATACAAGGTAAAGATAAGCAAATATGGTTAAACTAGTTAAGCATTACAAACTAAAGCACATCAAGTAGGTAACTCTACATAAAGCAAAATTTACGTTTACATCACTATATTATTGTGCTAAAAATAAACCACTACGAAAAAAATAACTTTGTAAAGATGGAAATTATTGTCCAGAAACGTTGCTAGTGCTGCCTCTGTTTGGCCTGGAAATGTACGATGTACTTCCAAGTAGCAGCAGTTTGAGCCAGGGTGATGTCATCAGGGAGCTCATCAAGATCTGGTAATGGATCCAGGTTGCTGGCTTCCAGATGAGGGGGTAGAGTGTCTAGTAAACTATAAAACGAAGGATTTGTATACAGGTTATAATTAAGTGATGGTTAGAGGGGAGTATAAAATACAGCTACATCTCAATATTCAAGAACAAATAAGTGGCCTCACTAGCCAAATTACTGCTTTAAGTATCCCCACAATTCCTTTAGGATTCCTGTTAGACTATAACATAGAGAGATACACCAACTTACTGGTGAGCGAATGAAAATGCACGATTTTAGCTGCTTAGCATACAAAAATTACGTAGCAATTACAGAAGAAGAAGCTGGGAAGGCAGAAGTGAAAGCCAAGCAGAAGAAATGAAACACAGCAGAAAAGGCGGCAAAAAAATTAAAGGACTCAGATCAGCCTACAAACGAGCCCACAAAGCACTGAGTGACAAACTCACATGCTCCACAAGATGAAGTATACAGCGACAGTGAACAAAGCTCGAATTCAAAATGAGACCATTGACAAGAACATGTATTGCATGTGTTTCAATTCATGCTGTCCAGAACCAGTCTTATTTGTAAGAAGTCGCGCACAGTAGATTTATCGGTCCCTGCAAATCCTGAGGCTGCATACTAATAATACACAAACACTGCTACCCCACCTACAATGCAACCTCCGACTAAAGGAAGACTATAGGCCCAACGATTTTGTCCTTTCTAGAGACGGTTGTCCCCATCTTGGAAGAAATAGCATGGAGTTAAAACAATATAGAGAGGTCGTCCCTATCTGGGAGGGTCCCTGATCGAAGGTTCCACTGTATGTGTTTTTGGTAGTACTGCCGAGGGCGTTTCTCTAGCATAGAAACCTTTTTACACAATACCGTGTATTGTACTGTGGCTAGGGGCATTGTAATAGACAAAAAAAATAGGGAGACTTTTAAACAAAATTTCATGTTTCACGTAAACGTATACGAGCCAAAATAAACGAAATTCTGTTAAGGTGACGGGGTGGCATTTAGCGTAATCACACACATTGTTTGCGTTTGCTGGCTCCAACAAGCGAAGGTTAAGGCTATTTAGGAATAACCACAGAAAAACCGATACCTTGAACTCACACCAAGTAAACTTCGGCCTCACTGTTTAAAAGTTGTTGAAAGATAGCACGCGTGCAAAACATCTGGGTGAGTTTTCTCTCATGTAGTATACAGTTATTACAGCAAAACTAACGATACGTGGAGGTAGCTCTTGCCTTAATGAAGGGCCAGCGAAGGTGTCTACATGGCTGATTATGCATGATAGCCAGGTCATCAGAATAACCGCTAGTATAATGAAAAGCAAACCCTCGGCGAACTGTGCATGCATGGTACCACTAATTGATGGGCTGGGCTATTCGTTTACTCGCGGTCTCTCGCTAGTAGCTCGCAGAGAGTCTGACACCAGCTAGCGACAGTAGTAGATAGCTTGCGGGAGGCCCTTTGTTGCGACTTAGTGTGCCTCCAAGATACACAGAGCGAGCGGACCCGGTCGAGGTAAGCCTGTGCTAATTAGCATTGACTTGGTTTTCACGCCACAACTTTAGAATGCGGCATTTTTACGAAAACCCGTTTGTATCGCTTCTTGGCCACTTCGTTATGCGTGGTGGCAGAAAACGTGGTAACAGACGGACAGACAGACGCCGATGGTTAACTAGCAAAATCTATTTAAAACCGACTATGTCGTTACTCTAGAACACGTGGTCCTTTCACTTTACTCGGCTGGGCCTACACGAAAGTACACATTAGTAGTTTGTCTGTTGCGTGCACTCACATTTTCAATGGGACAAGGTATGCGTAGACCCATGTAATAGTAGTAGCACGCCTACCAGGTGTCTTCCACGTATATGCGCGAAGTATTGCATAAACCCGAAGGCGTAGCCCGAGGGATTATGCAATATTACTGAGAGCATACACGTGGAAGGCCCGCCAGTAGGCTTGCTACTGGTAGCTTGTACACTGGAGAACCGCGCACGTGTCTGAGCGTCTGACAGCGTCGTCTCGTCGCGTCTGATCTGAGCGGAACGAACGTCTGACAGCGTCGTCGTCATGGAGGACCAGGACTTTTGCTCTCTGAAAAGAAGAAGCGATGCACAAGGAAGCCTGAAAGCCGCTTTCCTACTATATATGTCCGATGAAGAAATAGCTAAGATTTCAAAGGTATTCGTTCCAAGTAACACCGCCAAAAACACCCAATGGGCTGTAGGTGTCTTTTCCGAGTGTCTGTCCGGTCGATTGGGAAGAAGTGTGAAAAGTAACAGGTAATATCACTCATATTACCTGTTACTTTTCACACATGCAGTCATATTACCTGTTACTTTTCACACCTCTTCAGGCTACTCCACTAATACACCCAGCAATTTTCCATTGTTCTGAGGCCTAGCCAGGGTACAACACATTAAAGATTGTGTATTTAACCCTGAGATGCATCAGAATGTAAAAACAAACTCTATCCTCATAACCAATCTCTCAGCTGATAAACTTGAGAGTATGACAGCCTACGTTGAGGCCTGGGACACAACAATGATTCGTTGGCAGATATGGCTCAGCTGGACTTGAGGTGATCGGTGACCCTTCAGCTAATCAAGATGGCAGTGATACCGACAGTCAAAACTGCTTGCAGAGTCCACCTCCACGCCAAAAAGAACTGCATGTGACCACTTTCCAGGCATACGACAAGGACATGGTTTGAAAATACAGAGGTGAAGAGTGGTCAAGCCCCCAATTATCATGACTGTTAGACACCACAATGTGTCAATGATAGACCAATGGCTAGAAGCAGGTATTGACACCTCACATACTGTATAGGAAGCTTCCATGACGGTGGTAGCCTCCTATGGATAAGTCACTACGTAACGTCTTGAATGTGGCAGCATTAGCGTAAGAAGCCAATTATCGTTACCCGCGCTCTGCGTAAGGCAGCGCGCGATGCACATGTGCAGTAGTTTCAATTTACTGAGGTAAACGGAGCGTAACACAGAGCAACTCACGGTGTCTTCACGAAAGGGAGCACTATATCCACCAAGAAGTTGAAATACCGATGTCGTACACCTTGGTAAGCATCCCTTTTAATTTTTAGATGCTCCACACGGACGATGCCTAAGAAGAAAAGAAGATTTATCTGTAGGAAAAGGAGCTCGTCTGCTCCGGCCATTCTTTGTCCCCGTAAGCCGAGTAAACGCAAATGCTGGGACAACGATCAGATGGTAGCAGCAATGACTGCCGTTAAGGGTGGGTCCCACATCAAGAGGGCAGCTGAGGAACACGGGGTGCCTGTCAGTACACTGTGCGACCGCATCAGTGGACGCATTGTCTGCGGGACTAAGCCTGGCCCTAAGCCATACCTCAGCAATACCGAGAAGGATGAGCTGAGCTCATTCTTGAAGTTGTGCTCAAATGTGGGTTATGGGCGAACCAGGTCAGACGTTATGGGTATTGCTCGATCTGTTGCTGCTGAGAAAGGGAAATTGAAGGGCAGCAGTGTGACCCAAGGGCGGTGGAGAAGATTTTATGAGCGCCAGCATGACCTGTCCTTACAGCATGACCTGTGGCTGCTGAGAAAGGGAAATTGAAGGGCAGCAGTGTGACTCAAGGGTGGTGGAGAAGATTTTATGAGTGCCAGCATGACCTGTCCTTACATCGCGGTCATGTAACAGCCCATGTTCGAATGGACGCCGTAAACAGTGAGACTTTGAAACAGTATTTCACCCTACTGAAAATGTTTTAACCGAGCATGATCTTCACTCAAAGCCTGTTCAAGTATATAATGTTGACGAGAGTGGCATTCCTTTTGATCCTCAGGCCCCCAATGTTGTGGCGACCAAGGGAATGAAGAAAGTCCGTTACCAATCGTCAGGGAAGAAGGGGCAGGTTACTGTTGTGGGGTGTGCCAGTGCTGCTGGGCAAGCAACACCATCCATGGTCATATTCAATGCGAAGCGACTAAACCCTGAGTGGACGAAGGGTGAATTCCCAGGCACCACCTCTGGGCTAAGTGATAATGGGTGGATTAACTCGGAGCTTTTTGAAGCATGGATGTCGGAGCACTTTCACATGCTGTTTCAGCTCGGCCATTGTTGTTGCTCCTGGACGGCCATAGTACACATTACCAGCCACAAGTTCTACGGCTTGTCAAGGAGAATGATGCGGTAATGCTCTGCCTTCCACCCCACACTGCACACGAAGCACAGCCACTGGATTGTGTGTTTTTGGCCCTCTCAAAGCTCACTGGTCACGTGTGTGCCATGCTTATCTACAGCAAAATCCAGGTCGTGTCATTACTCGCTTCCAATTCAGTTCACCGTTCTCACAGGCGTGGTGTGCTGCAGTGTCACCTGCCAACATAATAGCCGGGTTTCGCACATGCAGAATATACCCATTCAACCCCTCTGCTATTTCTGCTTCTGCCCACCACACTGAATGAAGAGACGACATGGAAACATTTGGTTCTTCTCTTACGTCATCATCATCATCATGCGATGCATTATTCGATGACCGGATCCATCAAGAAAGTTCTCGCAAAGAATCTGAGTGTCAGCACACAAAACGACAAAACGACTGAAAGAGACATGATGCCTCCAAGTACTACGGTTTTGTTCACGGATGAACAGGAACATCGCTTTCAGATTCGCTTTGAGGAAGGGTTCACAGATGACGACTATGTGAGTTGGCTTGAAATTCATAACCCAGAGTCACTACCGCATTCAACACTCACTCTCATCGGGCATTTTTCTTCTGTCTCTCCAGCTCTGCAAGTAGCAATGGACTCTACTCTTCCGGAGTCTCCAGTTACAGAGAACACTCCCTCCACGAGTTTTCAGCCTCCTGCCACAGAGACTCCACAACTCATCAGACTCCAGTCATGGACTAATGAGTCGTCAGACTCTGAGAACTCCCCCTCCACAAGTCGCCAGTTTCCACCGACCTTCTCTCCCTCCACGCCTCCAGCCACAGTCTCTCCCTCCACAAGTCGTCAGCCTCCAGCTACAGTCTCACCCTCCACGAGTCGTCAGCCTCCAGCGACAGTCTCTCCCTCCACGAGTCGTCAGCATCCAGCGTCAGTCTCTCCCTCCACGAGTCGTCAGCCTTCAGCGTCAGTCTCTCCCTCCACGAGTCGTCAACCTCCACCCACAGTCTCTCCCTCCACGAGTCGTCAGCCTCCAGCGACAGTCTCTCCCTCCACTAGTCGTCAGCCTCCACAGAGTCCGACTTCTGCCTTAAAAATTCATAAGGAAGGGGAGGGGTCACGCTGTATCTCTAAGTATCTAACACTTCCTCAGGTAGCTCCTTCAACTCCCAAGACTTCACCTCAAGCTCGACTACTGACCAGCGCTGACGCTATGGCACAAGCAGAAGAGAAGGAACGTAAGAAAAAGATTTCTCTAGAGGAGAAATAACGAAGGAAGATTGAAAGGGAGGAAAAGAAGCGACAAAAGGAAATGGAACAAAAACGAAAACTGACGAACGACTGAAGAAGCTTGAGACGAAAGCAAACAAGGACAGTGAAGTAGCAAAGAAACAGAGGGTCACAAAGAAAAGAGCTCTGAGAGACTCCAGCAGTACAAACCGAGGAAGCTGTTATGAGCCTCCAAGTAAAATGGGTCGCCAGGAGAAACACAGTGCTGGTGGTGTAACTGAAAACTAAGTGTTGCGTGTGTATTCTGAAGACGTCTCAGGAGATGAGTGGATCGAGTGCACCTGTGGCAGATGACTGCATGAATATTGTGGTGAAGAATGTGGAATAGATGCTAATGGATAAGAGAGATTTTGTCCTACAACCATTGTCATTATCATTTTCTGATATTTCATCCATGTTTAGTACACATTCATGGTTCATGATCATGGCACTACGGTTGCATTCAGAGTTTCCTTTCGAAAACTACACACGAAGGTAGAGCGGAACGCAAACTAACCGGCAAAAGTTACGATACTTCCGTAAGTTGTTTGTGCGCAGCGCAATGCTCGCGGATCCTTAGGTGGGCGATAATTGGCTGCTTACGCTACATCATTGTTGAAGCAAACTGGGTTCAGCAGAGCAGTCCTCAACCCAGCCAGGGATGACCAACATTTCATGAGTGAGTGAGTCACACCTGTGTTTCACGCTTTGAAATTATGGTGCTTGCACTTGCAATGCAGAACTAGCATGGACATTTCACGTAGTGATGGATACCTTTCACACATATATTTTTGCTATTCCTTACCCCCAGTCTTTCTTCTTTAAGTCAATGTGTCTGATGAAGGTCTCAATGAACTCATACAATGTCCCCAGCAGAGCTGACAGATCAACCTTGGGAAGAGCTCTGTCTAGCTCTTTGCACTGGGTGTCTGTTAGTGGCTTTAGCAGCTCGTGGTTCAGAGTATGTAATGGCCCCTGCTCGATCTGCTCCTACATTAGGCATTAAGTTCATTGTTATTAGTATCCTCAATTAAACTGAGAGACAGTGTTTATAGTACTGAGGTCAGTTTAAAACTAGGAATGCGCACGCGCATATCTTGCCTCGCGCCTGCCAGCCAATGCGTGCGTAAACAGTCCGCTGAGGCCGCTCGCGCTCGTTCGCACGCTCTACTGACTGCGCGCGCAAAGCCAGACTTCCTACGAATCTGCACGCGCACACGGCGGAAGCTAGACTTCCTACGAATGACGGAAGTTGACATTCCTAAGCGTGACTAATTGACATTTCTCCAAGCGTGACTAATTGACATTCCCCAAGTGTGACTAATTGACATTCCCAAAGCGTGACTAATCTTAAGCGTGACCGACACGTACGTACGTACATACGCATATCGCGAGAATACAACCCGGAGTAGTTGCCTCGCGCTAATGCGCTCGGCAATTAAGGTAAATTATTATTTTCTTATATTTTAATTTGGATGTGTGTTACTAGTGTGTAAGAAATAAATTCTAATTTAAATGCGGATTTATTGGCTCCTGGAGGTTAAATAATTATTGTTACTACTACACCACTTTATTACCAACATTATTATACCTGTTCACTGAGAGTGATGCTTTTTGCCAGGCCAACAGACAAAGTCTGCCACAGGGACATAATATGCTCCAAATTACAGTGCTCTTTCACCTGCAGTAAAGTTGCTGTCATTTCAATCTACAGGTTTAACAACAATGACTCACTTTGTCACTGAAGGACCTTTTATCCATCTTCAATTTCTTGAGGTAGGCAAGGAGCCTAGTCTTTGGTTTCCCTCCTCCTGATGTGAGGAATCCAAGCACTATCTCCACAACATCTAGAGACTTTCGCAGTTTGTCGGGAGATCTCAACTCCCGTAAGATGTCCAGTTGCACTCTGTACCGCAGCTTCCTCTACACATGGTTTACAACATCCAACATCAAGTCACACACAATAAAAGCTATCCTGAGAACAATACCTGTGGAGACACTTTCTTTCTTATAGTACTAAACATGGCTGCAGTGTACACATCCTTTTGGTAGCTAACATGAGGGATTATTTTGATGTCAATAGTAGGTTTCCCATGGATGAAGCGGCCCAGGATACATTTCTCCAAAGCTGGGAGGTCATACGAGACCTCTCGACCCTGGCCCACACGGAGAGAGTAGTGGCAGTGGGAGAGAAGGATGGACTGAAGCTGGCTCTGGTAGTCTAGGAGGTGGCACTTGTGGATGTGGGCCAGCTGGATCTTGTGCTCTCGCCATGAACTGCAAGGGGTAGGACAGAATGTGTTTCTGAGCACATTTGTATGACATTCTTACCTAATATTGCTCTTGGCTCGACACCAGTCAATAAAGTTGTTGTGAACATAGCAGAGGTAGTGGAGCAGGGAGAATGTGCAAGCTCCAGGACCAGTTGTAGTGGGAATGAAGTATTCCAGAGGTGTGCTTAGCCGAAGCTCTTCCTGAAGGTATGTATCCTCAACCTTTAACTGGCCTATAATTATAGAGAGGAATCTCCATAGTTTTGTATGTCACAAGCTGCCAAATATTTGGTTACCATGCTCCTTAAGTTGGTCTCTAACAAGGACCCAGGCATTCTGTACACTGGACACCATTTCGCGATACTCATTTCGTACACTCTCTGAAAATAAATACCAAACTATAACGCTATTAAGGTAATACACAAAGGTACCAGTGTGTTGCTTCAGTATAAACCCATTCATAGACAGTCGCTGGGCCACCTTGCGGTCAATACGGTGGTGTAATTCATCAAATAGTAGCTTTTGCAGTTTCACTATATTCGGAATATACTGTGTGGCTTGTAGGACAGCTTCCTACAGCAGAGAGTATGTACAAAATGTCTGACTGGAGCAATGTATTCTTACATTTTTAACAAAACTCTCCAGAATGGGGAACTTCTTCTTCTGCTGCTGCATGTATCTTATGAGATGTTCAAGGGTAATACGAGGTCTGTATCCCCAGAGATGAAGCTCCAGACTGTCCTTAATCACAGGTGATCGCTCATACACCAGATAGTAGAGGGGGTTGTGCTCTAAACATGAGGAAGTCAGTGGTTAACTAACAAATTGATGTACGGAGAGACCGTACCTTGTGTATCATCATTCAGAATAGTTGCCATTATAGCGGTTAGCTCAGTCTCCAACTTCTACAACAAAGAAATTAATGTAAAATGGGTGTATATGTACCCCCAAAAGTTTGAGACCTCAAGAATGGGGTTGATGTACAGCCCACTGAAATGGTTTTCCCACTGACTGCGGACATCCCTCGTCCCAAGAGTCCTCAGTGGAATGGCAGCAGTGGGAGGGGTTATGGTGAGTATGTTCCTCAGAACAAGATGAACCACAATGGCAGCATCCTCGTGGTTCCTCCCGAGAGCCGTGGCCAGGAGCTGCACATCTCTCTCCAGGTGACCCCAGAAGAACTCAGGGAGTTCCTGTGGACTGGTCAGACCTGACTTGACCAGTGCCACCAGTCCTCCAGTGGCACTGTCGTCATTGCAGCTGACCCATACCAGAGCACAGTGGCATCTAGCTCTGATAATACAGCAGGCAGCAGGTGAGAGTGAACGCTCTGGTGATGGAATATTGCTACGTGTTGTGGGTTGCCCAGGGAATGCCCTGTTCAGTATTATCCGTTCTGTGTGAGAAGTAACAGTACTATACATGGCAAGGGTGAACAAAAGACTTACGTTCTGGCAGGTTTGTTCCCTGCTGCTAGTACCAACTTTATCCCACCGATAACAGAGCCACATACAGCACAGTTCGTCTGTATCACTGCCCTGCCACACTTCATGTATAGGACATTGCGAGGAAGTAGGAGGGGCTGATAATCAAATGTTAAACATGTAGTGAACTTACATTTCCAATGAAATAGGGATGACCATTAGGGCATTCTGGGATATAAATAATAATTCAGACATAATATATAGTTATGTGTTAATTATTCATACCATAAAAATTGCCAGTTTCCTTTATCGCTGCTTTGGCCTGTGGAAAAATGTCTTCTGCCATTGTAGGCAAGTAACATTCCTGAAAAGTAATAAAAAGCATAAAGTGAAACCCTCGGTGAACTGTG